AAAAAACCCCAGCCAGTAAAAAAGTTATCGAAATCTTGAAAAAAAAAAAAAAAAAAAAAAAACTATTCTCTGCTCTCAAACAGATTATAACTGCACTGGAGCCGCTGAGCATGGCCCCTCCCCTAACACTATAAGAGGTGTGTTCGGCTTGAAGCGGCGCTGCACAGACAGATCGGTGTTTGACATCAAAGTACCGCGAGAGCGATTCGAAACCATAAGGAGCGTCTGCTCTCTAGAGCTCTCAAGGTACTTTGATGTCCTCCTACACTCCAAGGGGCTCCAAAACTAGTTGGAGCTAAACTCTGCAGGACACCGGCCCTCCAGGACCGAGTTTGGACATTCCTGTCCTACACCGATCTGTCTGTGCAGCGCTGCTTCAAGCCGAACACACCTCTTATAGTGTTAGGGGAGGGGCCATGCTCAGCGGCTCCAGTGCCTCATCGAGACATGATTTCAGGCCCGCCCAAAAAATCCTGAACATAAAAATCCTGAAAAACTATTTACCGGCCCAACTCCACAATTCAGTACTATGTAGTTCAGACTCCTTGTAACGTGTTTTCAGCAATATATTTCTAACATTTATAACGTGTTTAGAAACAATTCTCTAAATTGCCTTTACACAGACTTTAACAATATTCATTCACTGTTAACGGCTTTGATATAAAAGATGAGATGTCAGAAAGGGAGCTTTACAACCGAGTCAACTTTGGCACAAATATCTCTTAATGGCTAATATTTAATTTGTAAATGCATCTGATCAGGGTGCCATGCACTTGGTATTTTTGAGGGGGCACCGTTGGGAGGGTCGAGTCATGTGACACACAGCAGTCACGATAGTGCTGAAGGCCTATTTCCTTTTTTTTCCAAAATATTCCCAAACTTGTAAACTATATCATGAAATATCTCGATTCTCAAATATGTGCAAGTAAATGCATTTTGCACCTTCGTCGATCGTGTTAGTTAAGCTATAACGGGCAAAGTAGCCTAATGTAAGTGTAATCTATTAACTAAGCATAAAACCAGTGGGTGTCATGTCATAATATTTTAATATGACTGACTTTGTATTTAATGTGAATTTAATAAAAACATTGCAAGTTACTAACTATAACGCTTTCATTGTACAAAAAGCGAGCAAATAACATTTTCACTGACTTCAATCTAGCGTGAGATTAAGCACTCTCAAAAAACTCCCGTTAGCCTATAATCAATGAAGCTGTCTACACTATGAAATTAATCTCTTACTTTGTACACACATCTGCACTCTGATGTAGGACAACTCTTTTACTCTTGCTGTGGAAGTTTAAATTCCTAATTTTTTTCATAATGTCCTCCTAATCTTAGGCAGAAGAGAATCACGCTGATTCCTGCTTAAAGGGGCTGTTTCACAGCATGCGACTGGCTGTTCGCTTCTGATGTCAATTTCATGTGCATATGTTTATATAGTTCATAGAATTCAGGATCAAGGTCTGAGCTGACAGAAAAAGTTGATGATCAGCATCATGGTATCAACGAAGCCTGATTGGATTGGTTTGGTTTTGTCAGCTTGAAACCAATCCTGTAACCCAGAGTTTGTTCAGCTAGCTTCATGGTACAGGTCCCAGGACTGATTCAAATAGCATTATGTTTCATAGCTCAAAATAGCTTGCAACACAAAACCAGAGGAAATAAAATACATCAGTAAACAATTACAAGTCAGCACTTTCTCCATGCATGCTTCTAGAGGTCTGCTCTCCCGCGGGAACTGACCAGATTTCTTGCACTGCGGGATTCAATTCCCGAATAAAACACAGTAGCGGTCGGTAACTGGTATAATTTGAACGATTGCGGGGTCTGTGCGCAGCATGAGCATAACGATGCTCAGAGCAGGCTGTAGCCTACCTGTGGTAAATATACGGCCCTCAGACAGAACAGGCAGGTTGTCGATGAGTGACAGAGCAGAATAAGGATGGAGCAAAGTGTGGATGCGCTGTCCTTGAAGGACGTTCAACTCAGTTTGGTTTATATTTTGCTTAGCCTATAATTTTAAATGACAGATGTCATTTATTTTTCTCTGCGACACTTTTCCTACTGTGTTAACAGAAAAACGTCAAACGAATTTAGTATTTTGACAAGACGAATAAAAATATCTAATAGGCTATTTTTGTACAACCTACATTATTTTGTTTCTCTCTGCGACACTTTTTTCCTATTGTGTTGTCAATGTTAAACGAATTGTATCCTGACAAGACGAATAAAAATAAGAAATACAATTTTTCTACATTTTTTATTTTCTCTGGCACTTTTTTTCCTACTGTGTTGCATAAAATATTAAATGAATTTTGTGTCTTAAGATAATTCATATACATTCAAGTCAAAGTCAATAAATTCAAGATTCTTGACAAGACGAATAAAATAACACAATTTTGAGCAGACTACACTTTTTTTTGTTAGCTTATCTCTTTCTTTCAGTAGCGGAAATTGAAATGTGAGATTCTGGAAACGAGATCTAAATTTAGCAGAACGGTTGGGTCAGGAAGAAAATTATTCCAAGCGGACAGTGGGTGAACAAATTTGTGAATATATATATAGCGGGAGCGGAATAGAACCTTGCGGGAGCGGGACTAAAAAAATAGTCCCACGCAGACCTCTACATGCTTCCTTCATTCCATGTTTTCAACTGGCCTTGAAAACATACAGGGTCAGTGACACGTAAATCATTATCTTAGCCACAATCTTCTACAGAAGCTTAACTTGTGACTAAATTTGTAATTTTCTAAGATAAAATGTTTATGTACATTGCATGGCAATGAGTGC